ACAGGGAGCAGAGAACCTTTCCTGTCCTCTCCTGTCCCACCTTTACTCCCCTCAGCGGTGTATTTCAGTAGATCTGCCTGTTTTGCTTCCCACTGTCTCTGAGAATCCTCTCGCTCACCCATACCAATGGCCTTGTATAAATAAATCAATCTTAAAAAACAAAAAACATAGGAATATGTCCATTCCTTCAATTCTTTTATCTCCAAGGTTATATATGAAACTTAAATATGCCATGTCAAAATTCTGACTTAAATATTAATTAAACTTTGTTCTTTGGGCTACACAATATAGTGTGAAGGTTTAAAAATACACTAATACATTTTAGAAAGAACATCAACAGCTTCAAAATAAGAGTGATTTATAGCATTTAGCTAACCCAGCTTATTAGAAAAAAATTAGTAACTAAGATCCTCAATCAACTAGTCTTAGTCACCCTTTATTCTTCAATAAAATTGGTATTATATTAATAATACTCCTAAATTTAGAAAGGCATCACTCTACGATGTATAAAGTTTCTTCCCTCCAAAATGTTTATATTCTTTCAAAACTTTCATTAATGTTCCTCATTGCCCTCAAGGTACTTTTCTTTTCCATAAATAAATAAACAACTTCTTATTATGAGATCTTAGGGTCTCTGTTTTCTTCCTGATACATTTTCCTAATACACCTTTCATCTAGGAAAGGAAAGCTTCTGCACAACAAAACCATCAAATAAATATGAAAATAATCAAGAAGTCAAGTATTTTCTTATGCAAGCTGAAAGCTTTTTAAGATATAAAAATAATAAATAGTAATTTAACTGTCTTGGTAACATAACAGTATCTTAACCCGAGGGGAATCAAAGTAATTTCCCATTATGCCCATGTTGGTAGCAAAAAGATGGTTGTTTTATTTTTATTTTTAAAGATTTATTTTTATGTATTTATGCATATAAGAACTGGGGTTAACACCAGGAATGCAGGGGGTGAGAGTATTCATCAGAGACATAGTGAGGAGCAGAATAGGCAGATCCACTGAAATACACTTCTAAAGGGGGCAGCAGGTGAGACAGAAAAGGTCTGGGGCACCATGTGGGTCAGCTCCCTGGCAGGGGATCTTACTCAAACCTCAGTGGCTGGCAATAGCTTGATAGCACTGAGACTTTAACCCCTGCGCCACCAGGGAGGCCCAAAGATGGTTGTTTTTAATATTTAACCTTTATAATACCTTTTGAGTGACTGTTAGTAATACAATAGGACTTACAGGAATATATTATAACAGTCAATGAAATCAAAAGTTATGTAGGTGAGGAGAATAATTGCTCTTTTATATAAGGCACACTCCTAAAGAGCAGAAATGGCATTTCTTGCACACTTTTATCAATATATTCTTAGCACTTAAATACAGAAAGCTTAATAAATACCTGTTAAAGTTTAAATATTTATTTAAGGAAAAGAAAATGAGGATCAGAGAGGAAAAAAATACATGAATCACAATCAGGTTAAGGCCTTGAACATAGCTTGAACTAAGCTGTGCTTAGTGACTTGTTTCCAAAGAGTAAAGTGTGGGAGACTAGGAGCAAAATCTGGGAAACAAATACCTCAAGTATGTGATCAAGGCTAACATCATCATTCTTATATTGTTAGTATGTACACTTGAAATAAAGTTTTGAGAATGGCATTTCACCTTTGTTTTTTTCTCTCAGAAACCCAGACGCCAGTCTTAATAGGAGGAAAGTATCAATTGAAGGATAGTTTATAAAATTTCTGAGTAGTACTCCTCAGAACTGTCACAGTCATCAAAAAACAAAAAAGAAAAGAAAAAGAGAAAAGATTGAGAAATTGGAATTATGTAACAGAAAAAGTATATCAGGAAATGTCAGTGAAATCAGAATAAAGTGTATAGTTTAGTTAATAATACAGCAATTCTGTGACAAATTGTGTATTCACAATTAGTTGTGACAAGTGTACTATAGCAATGTAAGAAGTTATTTATGGGAAAATGATATGAAGTATACTGTTTACTATCTTGCAACTTTTCTGTGAATATTAAACTAGTCTCAAATAAACACTTTAAATATAGCAAGGGAAATAAGGAATACATGAATCAAAATCCCTTGGCACAGAATAATGATAAACATTGTTTTGGTCTCTATATTTAGCAATAAGACAGATATATGGGTTCTCATACAGTGGAAATAAAATGACTAACAAAACACCATTGGCACTATAATATTATGAAGTTTATATGTATGACCAAAGCAAATATCCTTTGAATTCTCATGTCCAAAAGCATCATTCTTAAATCAACACTTCGTTAACTCTCACAAAGTATATATTAGCTGTCATCTGTACATTGATGCGTTATCCTATAACTCTAGTCACTAAAAGCCACATTCACCCTTGATATTTCCCACTCATTTATACTCATCTAATAAAAACATCCTGATGATGCTCCCAGCCAAATCTCCTCTCACTTACTAATCTTTTCTTCAATAAACTCTCCTTCTCATCCCACAGTTAATTAGTCCTGTGCAATGCAGTCAAATGAACCTTTTTCAAAATAGGATTTTATCATATTATTTGCAGGCTCAAATACCATTTTTTTTTTTTAAATTAAGCCATATTTAAATTCAGAAGTGATGTGTCATGGTCATCCACAATCAGTTGTTTTTTGGTTTCCTTCCCTTGTAAAGAAAGACCTTTCCATCCATTACTCCACCTCACTGCATAAGTCCTGCCTTTCCTTTACTCTGGATAATAATAAAATATTTTGCATATAACATGTCTGATAAATAAGAATCCTCTGGGACTTTATACTCGGGGTGATAAATCCTAAAAAGAAAACAAGGAATATGGGAATTTATCTTATTGAATACTTTTATCCTCAATTCCTACAAGAGTATCTGGCACATGGTAGTTGCTCAAAACACATTTATTAAATGAAAACAAAGCAGTATAGAATGCTGCTAGCTTAGAAGGGAAAGAACTTTCAGTTGGAGAGATAAGGGAAGATCTAAAGTTCTATGACTTCAGACACTTGGGCTACCAAGATTTCAGCCAAATCTCAAGCTTGAGTAGACTGTCAGCAGGTAAAAGGATGTGTGCAGGTCCACTTCAACACGAAAAAAGTTATATAAGCAAAGATAAAATGAAATAAAATTCCTACTTGATGTCATTGAACAGTTCCTGTGGATTAGTGGACAATAGGAGAAGACTGAGACCAGTTTTTTAAGTCTTGGGGGAAAAACTGATAGGCATGCTTGATACAAAGGTATTGGTCATTAGAGTGCTATTATCGTTAGGAAGGTTAATCTAATTATCTAATGGGAGGAACAAAGGTTAGCAAGAACCTTACTTCCTACAAGAAGTCTTTCTTCTCTACTCAAATCCTCTACTCTTAATTTTAATGGCAGCACCCACCTGCATCAGTTTACCTAAATGCTCTCACATTGTAATCTAGTCTCCAACCTAAGAGGAATCATATCTTGAACCTCTTTTTCTTACTGAGTTACAAAAACTTCACTTTTGGAGGACCTTTTTGCACTCAGTTACTAAATGACTACCTAAAAAGTAACACACACACACATCCCATGAGTAACTAAACAGTAAGTGTCACAGATTAAGTCCTGTTTGGAGGGCACTTTCTAAAATTTTGTTCAATAGTTAGATCCCAGAACTAGAAATACAGTCATCTTCGAAACTATGTTTTCAGTGTTTCCTGCTTTAAGTATTTCATCACTTTTCTTTCTCAACTAAACACTACTCTCATTGGTCAGCAGTCATTTCTCAATTGCATTCTTTTTTACACTGAAGTCTCTCTAATTTTTATATCTACTTAACTCCACTGATTGAGAACCACTATGGAATAGTTACAACTTTAATAATTTTTGTACATAATCTCTTACAGTTTCTAGATATTTCCTGTGGTTTAGTACTACAAGTAAAATTGATTCAAATAAAAACATGCTATAGAAATAATTCAAATCAATAAAAGCATTTACAAAATGAAACATGATGCATTAATAAGCAAACTATCCTTATATTCTAAAAATTTCCAACTCTGTATCTTCAACCCTTGCTTATATATATATATTCCAAAATATTACACTTCACCCTCTGAAAATAAAATCTGCTCATGTTAACGTTTATATTAACTGTTGATACTTTCTCCCACCAACTTAAGAAAATTGACATACATAAATCAAAGGAGAAATTTCACTCTCAAATATTTTTCACTGCTAATATATCTTATCAGGTCAAAGTCCATGCAAAAAGAAAAAAAAGGGAAATTTTAATAAAACTATCAAAAATAAAATCCTCCAGAATGTGACGGGTTCTGATTACATTAGAATCTGTCGCTAATAGCTTTGAAATTCAAAAGTTTTTCCTAAAGTTGGGAAACTCCAGAATATACTATTCGATTCTTTATCATTTCTTAATGGTACCTAATATTGCTGAGATTTTAAAGATGAATCATCAAAACGGAAGAGAAAGGCAAAATATCAATATACAAAAAGAACCGCAAGGCCAACAGTAATAGACCTCACGATTTGGACGGACCAGTTCACTTATTCCACATGTCTACCTCGGAAAACAACATAAATGTATGCACTCAGATCCACAGCAAGGTTACAAAGCCATTGGCTACCAGTGAAACCTCAACCTGAGCGCCACTAGGGCACTCTTATTACCCTGGGCCGGCCACGTGGCTGTCACAATCAGAAGGAAGACAGGAGAAACGGCATAAAGTAACTTGGAAATAAATAGCCGCCCTCCTTCCCCCATCTCGAGGTTAGGTGTAAGAAGCTCTTAGTCATTTCTTTGCACACTAAGACTTTTTTCCTAAAAGGAAAAAACTAAACACAGGGGCTGTTTTAAAAAGATTTTAAAGCAGAAATCAGATCCAATGAGATCCCAACATTGTGCCCCATGGGTTAGAGTCCCGAGAACTGCATGGGGAAAACAGGCTTTTTGCAAAGAGGTGAGTTGAGTAAGAGTGGAGGATGGAGCACTACGCACATGGGGCGCTTTCCCCGCTCGGTCCCCGTTCTCCCGGGTTCCAGACTGGCTGTTGCTGCGATGGGGCGAACTCGGAAGGCTGAAGGGCCTCGCACGCGTCCTCACGACCTCTCACCTTTTCAGCAAAGAGGCCTGGAGGGCAGAGGTAAACACTGTCCCAAGAGAGAAGGCGAAGAGTCCAAATTGCAGCGTCGGAACGCTAACCCCCAACCTACAAGACAGCCACCCGCAGAGGCCCCCGGGCAGACGGCGGAGGAGGGGCCAAAGGGTGCAGGGATCTGCCACCCCTACATCCGGGACCCGCCCCCGTCCACCCAACGCCCGGCCGCCCGAAGTTCACTCCTGGCCGCGCCGGGCGCCTCCCCAGGCACTACACGCCGGGGCCCAGTAGGTCCGCTCCCGGCCAAAGGAGGGCTCGCGCCCCGCTTCGCTTCAAGCCCGGGGAGGGGGCGTTGCAAAGACTCCCCAAGAGCTTGGAGCACTTCCCCTAACAGCAAATTCACCCCGAGTAGAGCCCCAAGCGTCCTCCGGGCCACCTCCGAGCCTTCCCGGAAAGCCGGCACCCACGCCGGGTTCCGCCGCGCGACCCCCGCTCCCGGGCGGGCATTATCTCTCAGGGGAAACTAACTCCTCACCGGGCCGCACTCCCCCTCAGTTCGACACCCCCCCGGAAGCCTACACGCGACCCAGCCGCGCGCGGGGGACTCCCCCAGGCCGGCGCCAATTCCTCACAGGACAAAAATGTACGGGCGCGTCACGGGACAGTCACCTCCGCGCCCCACGCCCGGGTCCGGCAGCACGCGCTGCCTCAGTGCCCGGGAGCGGCCCCGCGGACTAGGGCGGGAGCGCAGTCCCCGGCCGGGCAGGGCGCCGCTCTGCCCGGGACTCACCGTCAGCTCGGCCGCGCAGCGGTGAGGCGAGGGACGGTCAAAGGAAGACACAATATGGCAGAGCACCGCAGCTGCTCCGGGCGGCTTCCAGCAGTCGCCTCCGGGAAGACGCGGCAACGAGCAGGCAGCGGCAGCTGCGGTGGCGGCCGCGGCAGCACCACATCCCACCCCCCCTCCCGCTCGCTTCCTCCCCCTCCCTCCGCCCCCCCGCTGCCATGGCAACGCGGCGCCAAGGAGATTAACCCCGCCCCCCTCCCCTCAGTCCCCGCCTCCGGCGACCCCTCCTGAGGAAGAAAAGAGAACTGCCCGCCCCGCCCTGTCCCTTCCTACCTCCTACTGAAGGGCCGGGCCCGGAATCCGGCAGTCAGCCCTGGACCGCGGTGGGTGAAAAGGCGGGGGAGTGAGTCTGGGGGGAGGGGATAATACGGAGTCCGGAAGGGCGGGGCCCACACGGAAGGCTGGGCGGAGACGTTGTGGGGTAGAGCAGGTTTCAGGCTGAGGAGAGGCTGGGGAAGGCGGGAAACTGGAAAGGCCTCGCCTATCTCGGACGGACCTATAGGAGTGCGGCGAGGCGCGGCGCGGCCTCTGAATGGCCGAGACGGCGCGGCGCGGAGCGGGGCGGGGCGAAGTGGGGTGAGGATAGTCATCGGGCGGCCCGCACGCAATAACACCTGGCACGACTTTGAGAACCCATTTCTGGAGGTTTCCCCAAGAGTGTTCGGCCATTGGTCAGGCTTTGAGAGCGTTTTAGGAACGGTAAAGCATTAATATAAACTAAAAGTACTATTACATCCTCCTGTCTGAAATTTTATGTGGAAATTGAGTTCAGCGTGCCGTGGTTGAAAAAAAAAATTTGTGTATTCAGATCCAAAATGTAATAAATGTAGCATTTATTGAGAGTTTTAAGTGCTAGGAGTTGGACTAAATCCTTTACATGCTCAGTCCCCGGTCTTAACAATAAAGCTAAGATAAGAGTTGTCACATAAAATTCAGGATTGTTCAGTAAAATCTGAATTTCACATAAATGTGGAATAATTTTTAATATAAGAATGTACATACTTCCTGGTTGTTTTGTTTGCCGAATCTGACAATCTTATCCTAATTTATGAATTCCCACTTTACAGGTAAGGAAATTGACTTAGTGGGAAAACCTTTCAAATATAAGGTAAGTGACACAACCAAGTCTCCCTTTTGCTATCATTATCATCCAGAATATCTATATATATCCACATTTTCAAACCTAGAATAGTAACCTATCAAATATGATGAATGGATTAAAAAGTATGTGAAAGAGACCTGGACAGTAACTGATACAAAGTAAATGCTTATAGTTCATTTGCATCCTGAACAATGAACAATTGAATATTCATATGTGAGCTGAATATGAAACAAGCTGCCTAATTGCAAGACAAGTCCAGCTCCTGGCATTGCAGATACAGAGGAATTACAGGCGTCAAAATATGTAAAAACAATATTGAAAGTGTTCAAACATCTCATTCTACAGATGAAAATGCTTCATTTATATGATTTTTCCAAAATGACCTATTTAGTTTCATTTGTTTTTTTATTACACTGGCCTAAAGGGCCCCATAAAGTAAGAGACCACAGGCAAATGTACTTCAATGAACCAAAAGTTATTTCACTTTCTCCTTTCAAAGCAACCGTTGTTGCCCCCTCATGCGGACAAATTGAAGCAAGTTCCTGGAGAAGTGCAATAGAAAGCAGGCAGCGGGAAGAAGGAAGGCAATATTGAGAGAATGTGCTTCTGGAAATCCATAGCCTCTTAGACCTGAGTCTTGTTTCAACATGTTTACATGTTGAACCTCAGTTTCCATTTTTCATTTAATCTATTTTAAATTCAGATGACCAAACAGCACTCCTCAGCCCTTAGAAGAATAACCTGGAGGTTATATATATGTATATTTCAGAGAGTTATCATCCAGTGGTCCAAACTATCATTGATAAGAAAACAAATTCAGAAATGTTATGTAACTAATGCACAAATGATGAATCTACCCTGTCGTCATCAACTAAGTTCTCTCTGTTCTTTTTTTCTATTGACTTACTCAACCCAGAGACGCTGAGCACACTTAAATAATCTCTTTGTGTGTGGCTCAGGTCTGTTAGGAAAGCTCTAAACACTCTGAGTTTAAAGTCCATATATACTTTAGGTATAGTTAGAGGCCATTTTAGAGGACTTTACATACCTATCAAGGAAAAGCTGTGATTAAAAATAATGATGATTCAAAGTGAGTAGCTTTTTGTGGAAGTTTATAAGCATAAAAAGGTTAAGAAATTGGAGCTTAACACTAGAAAAAGGAGGGTCCTCACATTTCAGATCTCTTGTGAAACTTGAATTCTTTCTTCAAAATACTTTTTTTTTAAAGATTTATTTATTTATGCATACAAGAACTGGGGTACAGGCCAGAGGTGCAGGAGCGGTGAGAGAATTCACTGGAGACAGAGTGGGGAGCAGGACAGGAAGATTGATGAAGTACACCACTGAGGGAAGCAGCTGTTGGGTCAGAAGAGGTCTGCTGTGCCATGTGGGTCACCTTCAGGGCTGGGGATCAAACTCATGCTGTAGTGGCTTTGGATAGCTTCATGGTGCGGTGCTTTAACACTATTATACCACCAAGGAAGGCCCCCAGATAATTTTTTTACTCTCATGACTGGCACCACAGCGAGGGTACCTCTAGTAGCTGGAGATGAACTAACCATACTTCGACTGAAATCCTATGTTTATCTCTGTTGTTTGGGTTCTTTAGTTTTTGCACAAGTAGTTTTAAGGACTTTTCTAAATGGCCACTCCATGCATTCTTTCCAAGGGGATAGGCACACTTCTTAAATTCAAGCTTGAGACATTCCAAGATGATTAAAATTGGAATTAACGTATTGTCACTTCTGTCATATTCCATTAGAAAATGCAAATTACAGGCCTATCCCTGAGTCAAGAGGTGGGAACTACAAATGGTCATAAATACAAGGAGGTCTGATACATCTGGGGACATCAGTCATTTTAACCAATTAGTGCAGATAGCCTAGACAAAAAATAAAAACTCAGCAACATGATGTTTACAAAGAGTATATCTTGAAGACAAAATGTAAAAAGGTGAAACTAAAGAAATAGAATAAATTAAACCATGCAATTCTACTAAGAGAAAGCTGTAGTATTAGATTAAATTCAGACAAAAAGCTATAACTAAAATAAAGGGAGACATTTTTCATAGTGATAGATTTAATTTGTCAGAAATGTATTTTAAAATTCTTCATTTGTACTTCTCTAATAGTATAATATCAATAGACATGAAGTAAAACTTAGAGAAATACAAGAAGAAATAAAAAATTAATATTTCTGGGAGATATTAACATATTCTGGTACTAATAAAATAGGCAAAGTACTCAGAATATAGGTTTGAACAACAATATTAGCAAAGTAGAGTCTAAAGGGAAATTGAGTGTATTTCTATAATCCCTTGTATGCACAAATTAATCAGTTCATATTTGTTTTGGCTCATGGAACTGAAAGGACATCTAAGGATCCTGAGCCTCCAGGCTGGTTGGAACTTCTCACTGTTAATATATTTACTGTTGTATACCTTTATTCTTTCATTTAAATAAACAAATTAAATTCCTACTGTGTATCAAGCCCTGTACTTAGCTCAAAGATGAAAGCTACAGTTAAAATGTCAAACAAACACATCAGAAAATACGATGTGGTATCCTTAAATGAACACAATGTTATGTTTCAATTATATTTCAAATAAAATAGAAATCTTAAAAATATAGTAATAGAAGTACAGAAAGAGAATTTTACACAAGGAGCAATGCAAACCAACTCCCAATGGCCATAAAAGATGGTGGCTTAGCAAATTTGAAGAAAGAAAAGAATGGTATAGAAATGGTAATGTGGGGTAGGGCCTAGCAAAGCCTGGTTGTGTGAGAGCATGACTATTCAAGTCAGAGAATTGCCAGTCCACTTGGAATGTCTGAAGTATAAAAGGTTGCTTGAGTTGGGTGTTATCTGGTTGCAAGAAACAGAAATTCATGCCAGCTGGCTAAAGTAAAGGAGGAACAAATATAAAAATAGTCAGGGTTTATGTGAGATACATGATGGGAAGCACAGTCAACATTACAAGAACCCTCCTCTCTTCCTGTCATTATCCGGTCTCTGTTCTTGACTTTTTATGTATCTTTTATTCTCTCTATAGTCTGGGCTCTCTGCTTATCTGCTTCTGTATGTGGCCTACTGGTCCAAATAGTGGCCCTACCTTTCCCCTTCTGCCCCCACCCACTTTGCCAAACTTTCCCACTTAGCAACCCACAATTATTACTTAACTCAGTCTTAGGGTCCCAATTCCAAATTCTCAGTAGCTGTAATCTGACTGGTCCTGTTTCAACATGCATGTAGATCAGAGGTCAGCAAACAATGACCTGGGCTGTGTGAGAGGAACAAATCTGTTCTGCTTTTATAAATAAAATTTGAGCAGAGTATAACCATATGTATTTATTTACATATTGCTTATATTTCAGTTATATCTCAATAAAAATAAAATCTAAAAAGACTTTGGCATTCCAGGGACAGAGTAATTGCAACATAAAATCTATAGACCAGAAAATCAAAAATTGTTTGCTATCTGTACCCTTACAAAGGTTGCTGATCTCTGCATTTGACATTCGATGTGGAGATGTGTGGTTGTAGAGGTTTGGGGCTAAGCTCTGATAGTAGAAACACTGGGAATGGATAGCCCATCCCCCTTCTCTGTAGAAAAACAATAATGTGGGGAAAAGGCAGCTGAGGAAGTATTTTGAGGAAGGAACAATTTGTATGTTCTACCATAGGGAAAAAAGTCAGTCTCAAGTATGCATTTTTTTTCCACTCAGCGAATGGAAGAGTGCAAGATAGTTGCTCCTTAATCTGGAGAGTTCATTAAGATGCTAAATTTAGGAACATATGTCACTGTAACTACCTTTAAATAACTCACTGTGGCAAATTTCCCAGACCCTCCGTAGTTAGCTCTTACTGAGATGAACTGGCTGATGTATGATGTTCACTCTATATACAAAGACTTTAAAATGCATGTC